GTTTTACTTCTTTTTTTTTTCACACAGTTTAAGAAAAAAGTAGTTAATTTTATTAGAAAAACAAATTTAGATGGCTATTTTCTTAAAATATTATTACATTAAATAGAATCAACTTTATATTAATTATTCATAAAAACTTGAATTAATGGTTTATGGGAACTTGAATTGATGATCAAAAAACAATCTACATTAAATAGAATAGTTTATACTAATAACAACATACATTGAATGATGATACAGGAAGGAAGAGCTGGAGCATATACGACTTACGGTTAACATACTATGGCAGCTGTGGAAAGCAAGGAATGAACGAGTATTCCAGGGAACTAAAAAGCAACCGTTACAAGTAATACAAAAGGCCATACAAGAATGGAGGGAACACTTGACGGCTATGGAAGGGAACAGGAGTCTGAGCATTCCGGAAACAATTGATGCAAGTGACAGGTTATGCCTTTTCACAAGCGAGGAGGAGAGCGTCAATGTCGAAGTGGCTATATAACTCACAAAGGTGAAGGCCAGGTGGTAGAGGTGGGAGTGATTGCAACAGATAACAGGGGTCCGGAAAAAGCTACGTGGGCTATAAGAGAAAGGAGTATGGGACACTTCCATTTGGACTATACAGAAGCAGTGAAAATAGCAATGGTAAAAGTAAGAGCACAATACTGGTCAGCTGTAAAGATTGGAATCACGGACCAACAGTTGCTAAGACAATTACGGCCAGGAAGGTCCAAAGATATGAGGTTATTTGCACAAGTGGAGGAGATTAATAGCCTAAGATCAATGTTTAGGCAATGCTCATTTTATCTGCTCCAAGATGAACAAAGACTTAGGAGTAGACATATCAGTTTATATGCTACATGCATTCTTTTTGATGAGGAACGACTAGTTCCTTAGTGTCTCTGTACACTATGTATAGTGTGATTGGGTCTTTAACCATACTTTTGTAAAGTTATTATGATTATCAATATAATCTTCTAATGTTTTCGGAAAAAAAAAGAATAATGATATTTTAAAGAAATTAAAAGATAATTATATTCTTCAATCACAAATAAGACTACAATTTGTAACAGACGAAAAAGAAAAATAGAACTATTAAAGTGGGACGGATGGAGTAGAATAATTAGTGTGAACAACTTTTCTTTAATGTTTTTGAAATAAAATTAATGTAAAACCTTTCAATAAATATGCTGTTGGTAGCCGGTCTAACACGTATTGGGACATGCCAAGTTGTGAATATAGGGAGATTCACTTGGAAGCGGGCTACCGGCCTTAGTTCGAGAAAGTTCGGATCCTATGATGGGGTTCGCCAGAAGGTTTTGAAACGGAATTGGAAGAGGGTTAAGTGGAAACGGGTCGTGGGCAGAGGCGGACGGAACATGGGCCCGCCGCCCAGATGGATACAACGACTTGAGCCAGCTGGAGGTTGGTACAAGTAGCGCCGGAACAACAGTCAACAGTTGAGTACAGGGGACTTGCTAGCAAGTCAAAGTGGCACGGCCTGAGTCGCCTGACCATCCTTACTTTATTTGTGTGATATGGACACCGACTCACTGGAAGGAAGCGAGGACGGGGATCCGATCGGCACTCGGACAAATGATCACACCACCAGCACATTCACCTGTTATTCCTCACCATCCAGCAAACCTTAACAAAACACCAAATTGTTCGCAATAATATATACTTTTAAATACAATTGACGTTCTCGCTTGCACATAGCAAAATATTGGGTTGTCTGTGCGTGTTTGAATAGTTGATTAATTAGAAAAATTAATTTAAATAATATTATAAAACTTTTTATGACGTAATGTATGTGAAATAAAATTATAATTAAAATCATAAAAAAATGACCTAAAAATGTGTCTATAATGTAAATAAATTAATTTGTATTATAAATATGTTCTCTTTTTTGCATTATAAATTAATATAATATAAAATTAATTATTTTTTTAATCACACATATATCACTTAGGGCTGCAAACGAACCGACCCTTTCGCGACTCGAGTCGAAATCGAACTCGAGATCAAGATATTAAACTCGTTAGGCTCGCGAGCTCGAGTATATATATATATATATTATTTTAACTATATGTATTTATTTTAATAGTAAAATTAAATATATATCCTTAATATTTTATTATTTATTAAGAAAAAATATTATTTTATTTATTTTTTAAAGAATAAAATAATTATTTTTTATTTTTTTCGAGCTCGAGCTGTTCGAGTTCACTAAAATTAAATCAAGGCTCGAGTCAATTAGGCCGAAATTCGACTGGACTCGGCTCATTTACAACTCTAATATCACTACACATTTATTTATAAAAAAAGCCAAATAATCCTTTGTTCAAACATATTACCATTAATATCAAAACAAATTTATAATATTTTATATGGGACGTAGCGGCTACGATTTCTCTAGTCAACAAAAGATTTGTAATTATTTGGGGGTGGGGTTTTTATTTTGTCGATGGAAATGTTGTGACTTGCACCCTGGCCTATGCGGTGGCCTGGTGGGTCTGAATATTAGGATGCATACGGGCCGCCCCTATTTGAGCTCCCAATCGGGAACCGCCGAGTTCAAAATACTACTACTACTCTATAATGCAATAGCCATGGACGTCTCGGGTCCTCCTTTTCCTGTACGGCAAAATAAGCTCACTCTGGAAATCAAGGTAAGTCTGATTAATTTCAATTTCTAATAGGATTATATTAATACTTGCGAATCATGACATATTCGTAATTAAGAAGTCGAATACACGTTGCGTGCTTGTTTCTTGTCGTGAAACTCTTGGATTGAGTTTCTGCGTTCTTAGATACTAAAATTAGTCCTGTCAATTTGAGATTGAGATCGGTAATATTTTATGATTTGAATGCTATTACGTTATGCTTTGATCCTCACGGTACTCGAATTGAATCATGTAAAAATTTTGCTTATGGATTAATTGTCCATAACCTGTTTGGTTAATTGTCAAGTCCCCTTTTCTTCTTCATTTTTAATGTTAATCCGTCAAAGGTAGCTGGCATTGAAGTCGTAGATGATTTTCTCAAATTCCTCGTTCTCTTTAAACATTTCAGATTTTACTGCAGCCTAATGGTCCGCTATTTGTGCCAATACGCAAAGTTACGATATCATGAATCTTGATAACTCTTTGAATTATGTGTTGATAAGAATCTTCAATGATTTAATCAACATTATGAATCTCCAGAATTTTGATTGAATTATGGTCTACTCATCTGAACCAGGGATGACCACATTGTTTTGAAGGAAAAATCAGTTAATATCTATATTTGACTGACAGATTACAAGCCAACAACTTATAGCTCCCTTTTTTCGAAAAAAAAAACCTCAATTTTTGAAGATTGGATGGTTTAGCTGTTCCACTTGTGTTTGTTAGCATGCAAAGTTTTGCTCAACGTTCTTTCCTCTGCAGGGTAACATCACGGATATTATCATATGCAGCTATGAGGATCACTTTTTTGTGAGTTTTAATCCTCACTTTTGGCATTAATGCTGCATGGGAAAGTTTTTAATATGCTTAACCATTTCAGGTTTTGGCTACTCAAATAGGAAGTATGGGAACAATACTGCATGCCAGGTCAATATAATCTTTGATTTGGATTGGCCACTTTTATTTGTTCCATTTTTTCTTTGATGTTTCTTTTGGTAAAGTTCTTGGGGGCAAATGATGTATAAAATGGATGAAAATCTGTGTTTAACCCCAAAAAGATGAGATTATATGATTCGAAACCATACTTTTCTCTAAACGCTGTCTAAGAGTCTAAAAAGGATATGATACCTTGCACGTTATAAACCATAGGCAAGTTTTTAATGTGATAGAAATTCATGTAGACATTGTTATGAATTTTAGGCACATTGTTGAAGCCTTTCCAAAGTAAACCTGTGGATCACCATTTTGATGAACTAACAAAAAAATTGGTTGATGATTGGTTCATGCATGCAAGTCCTGATATTGTTTGAGAATATAAATTTTTAAAGGACCTGAGATGTTAATAGTTGTAAAGGTTTGATTTGATGTGCAATATGACAATTTCTGAAAGCATGTTCTCAATTGCCAGGAAGGAGGAAGAGGTGTCTACAGATCCAACATTTGAAGTCTCTGTAATATTTGGTAAACGTGATGAGGTAAATATTAGAAGTCTCTGTGACCTACCGTTCTTCGCATTAGTACAAAGAGCTTTGTCTGACCCGATATGTACCTGTAGCCAATGATGATATCCTGTGGTCGGCAGCTAATTGAGCACATAAGGTTTGTACTTCAAGTGACATTCACTGCGTCTTTTTCCTGCATTCTTTTGTGATAGTGAACTTTTCTAATAGCAACATTTTTCTTTGTATATGCAGCCACTCTGGATCTTCAAAGCCCTTAATTCTATCTCTTGGTCTAAAAGACCACTCCATGGTAACTTTCAAAATCTCTTGGTCGTCTTTGATGCATACAACGGTAGCACAACTTTAACTTTCTTCTTTCGTCACACAGGCAACACTCAAAGGCATTGTTTCTGCTGTGACTGCTAACTGCCTCTGGTAATTCTATTGATCTTCCGGCAATGACATTAATGCTCTCCGAGGGAATTACAATGGAATTATTCTTTTCATGCTTTACGTTGTTTCAGCTTTTATGCAATGCTCCAACTGTGGATTGTGCTTTCAGCCCACTCGCCACAGCTATCTATCTAGTTAAGTGAGAGATAAAATTTACCTGTTATTCTTGCGACTTTACTAGTCAGGTCCGCTTGCCACAAGGATCTAATGGGTTCCCTTTCCAGTTAAGTTTGTCAATATACCTTCACAAAATTTTGATGGAACAGAACGATGGTTAAGAGGGGCAGAGCAAAAAGTGCAAATTTCATTCGATCTTGTATAGAATATATCTTCACAAAGTTTCGTGTTACCCCATCGCACAATATCGTACAATTATAGTGCAAAGACCACCAAATTCTTTTGAATAAGGGGGGAGAGAGAGAGAGACTCAAAAGAGGGACAGAGCTGAAATAAAATTATATATATATATCCCCACTAATCATAATTACAATGTCACAACCATATTACAACATGTATGACACTCAAGAATGGCATCTCAATAACTGGTAGCCGGCTTTAATATTCACACGAGGTGGACAAAAATTACAATGTAGTCTGTCTGAAGGCCGTAGCAACCAACAAGCGGGCACCAAAATCGCCACCGATGTTACAATGCCATTTTCACGACTTTTCGTCCTTGAGCAATGCACTCGCTTTCTTTTCCAGCTGCAAACCAAAAGGACATATTGTACTTATGGAGACGATGTGACCAATGAGGATATATGACAATCTATGACATGGCCAATTTGAACTCAGATATAGGTACAAATTTAATACTATATAAAGCAAGTATATTGTCTTTTATGTGAAAAAAAAAAAAGGAATTGATGAAATAGAATATGAAGAACACTTTTTTATGGAGACAAAAACATTTCCAGTTTCTGCAAAAATTTGAGGTACAGAAATAAAGACGAGCACATTCTTAAAGAACAGGCAACTAAAACAAATTTTTTTCTCAAAACAAAAAGTAAACACACCTGAGCATTTTTCAACTTCTGTCTCTGCAGTTCCTCGACCAGACTCCCAATGCTAAGATTTCAAACAAGCATCCAGTTCATTACAAAATAGAAACATCAGGCAGTAATTTGAAGAATCCTGGGATTCAGACCATTACCTCTGTTGCAATTGAATCACGTGGGATTGCAGCTCCTTTTCCCTCGAAGTAGTTGGTGGTACCTACAAGCATTACCAGAATGGATTCAGAAGTCGATGACATCTTTACCTCGTACCAAAGTAAATATTTCTCCCTCCAAAAGCAATACAAGACCTAAAACTATTCAACTCATACAAGATAATACATCAGCTCTAAATCCACACTTTTACACGACAAAACCAAGAATTTCATCAAAAGAAGAGAATACCTGCAAAAGGTCATTGATACCTCCCTCAACAAAATCCGTAGGGCCTAGATATAAAAACCAAGCCAAAGAATCATCACATAGAAGAAGCAAATACAAAGGCACAAAAGTAAAGGAGAACACAAACTAGATCACTGAATGTGTGCAGAAAGATGTTAACAGCCAAATATAATCATCCAGCGTGAGTGACATTACCAGATTGCTCCACATATTTAATCAATTTCATTATCTCTTCCTGAAAACACAAAGAACAATTAGCAAAAGCCAACATTTGGTGAACACCAAGGTAAGATGAAAAGCCATTTACCCTCTGAATACTGTTCTGATGAAGGATACATTGCAAGGATGGAAGAATTGAAACAGCTGTAAGGCATGAGCTCGATGGAATGGTCGATCCTCCAGAAGAAGCACCAAAGAAAGAGTTCGTAGGACCCTGCACGCAAGCAAGGGTAGGCAATGGTTACAAAGCCATTGCCTAGAAGGTAATTTGCCAACCTTCAACATGAAATTTGAAACAATCTTAATGTCCAAACCAACACTTCTAATGAGTAGCAATATTTGTAAAGTGTGCACTATTCAAAATGAAAAACATCCAGGCAGCTTAGCAATGTGGGAAACAAATGTTTACTTTATACTAGTCGAAAGTTAATACCAAAATATCAGTTTTACTGATTCATCCAACGAAAAACAGACAGCCGAAGACTAAGCCCAAAACAAAAGCCAAATTTTGGAAGGAAATTGAAACAAGCACTATTTAAAGGGGGAAACAAAATACAAACATACTGAAGCCTATCGACAATTAAAATGCCCTTAGTTTGTTCAATTTAACAAAGTCAGGAAACTAGCAGAGACGGGTCATAAACTCGTGATGTTTATCATGATGCATAACTGCACATTTTCACACTGTGCTACTCTTGGCCTAAGGATGTCTAGAAATATTCTCACAAAACCACCCCCTCACCCTCTAGTGTGTTTCAAATTGCTTGACTATTACTCGACTCCCATCCAGTTACTGAAGGCAGGCAGGCATTATGCTATCAGATGCATGAAAATAAAATACTTCTGAAAAAAGTACCCTGGGACTCAAATCTGCCGATGTGACTTTAAAACGCCCCTTTCTTTGGACAACAGCACCTTCAGACATATCATCCCCTGCAAAAGCAAACCTTGAGATGTTGAGAGAGATCGAGAGAAAGAGCCATAACAAAGAATACAGGTCAACCAAAGCAAAACAGACTTTTTCCAGTCAAAAGGAAAGAGCTACTTTCCAGGCAAATTCAGCAATATAAATGCAAAACGCATTACCTGAAGTAGGATTAATGATGTCTTTCTTTTGACGATACTGCAAAGGACCACTATAATTTCGTTCTGAGGTATATTTTGGTTGCATATATTCCCTTCACATAGTAAAGCAGAATCACAATCAGTACGAGTGAGAAGCACAAATATCACTAGCTAAAACAGAAGCTTTTGATAACTCCACTTGATAACAAATTTTTCAGTGGAACACTTATACACCATATAGTTAATCAAGATAATGGAACTATGTTAATATATAAGTTCCCTATCAATAGATGATCCAAACTCTAGGGAAAAACAACCACCAAAAAGACAAAGTAACTCCTGCTCTTGATGCAGCCCAGTTGCTTCTCACTACTGGGAAGCCTTGTCTCTAGATTCTTTTTCATTTTTCTTGCATTCTCAGGGACTCCAATCAGGAAAAAGGGGGGAAGCTAGTCTCTTTAGTTGCCCTATAGAATGTCCGCGAATGATTTCTTCCATATTCCATTAAAAGACGGGCCATGTGAACCATCTTAGCACATAAAAGAAAAAGAATTCAAATATGTTAACGATCATTTCCAAGTGTGAATGCACACTACATTTTGAATTCCAAAGGCAGAAATACTCAATTTACTGAAAGAATAGTTATACTGCCAATCTTAACTTTGCTAAGAGAGTTGAAACTATAAAATGAACATAGCTAAACATATACCTGTCTCCATCACCAGTAACCTTTTTGGACGAAGAAACATTATCCTGCATGATTGAACCACTTAATAATTTTTTATGCCCTGGAATAGCAGAACGTGTCAAGGAGCTACTTTGCCCTGGACTCTCACCATCATCCCTGCCAACTTCTTGACTTTTACATTTTCTTGATGACTGTACTTGAGAGAACTGTTCAGTATCAGGTTGAACAGCATGTTTCCAACATGGACTACCAGCACCCGAGTCATCCTCACACACATCAAAACAACCTCTGCATGAAAACCATTTATTGCATTGATAGATGGATAAAAGAATAAATCAAAATGAAAATAGACACCCATGAAGTTCAAGAAAAGCCTTTCACAAAATAACTGGAGCAGTTCAAAGTAAACCACAACGTTATTCAACAGTTGCTTTCAGGCAAATACATGCTATGAAGTGCTTCTCTTTCAAAGAAGCGGATTGGTACATAGAAACACATACTGCATCTCTTATATTGTTCTGTAAGAACATCAAAAACCAGAGCAACCCATCCATATTTATTTGACACAATTATTCACAAAACAAAATATATGTGCATCACTATATCCAGAGAGGAACAATGTGAAGAATATCCGGTAACAAGAGACAATTTTGGTCATGAAGAAAATGGAAGGCAAGACAACTTGGTTTCCAAATCAAAATTCCAAGAAAATAAACCAAAATCAAAAGATGTTAGAACTTTATACTTCAGTGCCTGGAGAGGTTTCATAGGAAAGGCAGCAAGTGAATTCTCCAGGTCATGGATATCATTGAGCCTATCCTGAAACGTTGACACATGTAAAGGAGAAATGTTACACAGAGAAAAGAACACCACAATCCTCAGAAATGCATTTAAAAAAAAAAAGCCAAAAAGCGAGTGCAATGGGCGACTGAACCTCCATATGACCCACAGAATTTGGGACAGGCCTATCAAGGGATGGCCTCTCTGTGGGAGAAAATGCATCATGTAGCCCAGCCCCTTGCTTGGGACTCATACATTGATCTTCAGCATTTGTGATATCAGTGTCTGGAATCTGTAAGCAACACCATGGATTTATAACCGCTGAAAGTAACAATACTTTTCCTCGAAATAAAAAGGTATTCAGAACTGAATGAAGCACTAAACATACCAAAGCAGCTTGATTCTTCAAATCCTCCAGATTAAAATTCCAAGCACTAATTCCTCGGATGTATTCTTGCTGCATAGTCAGCAAAACTCAACTTAAAAATTTCAGAAGTGTACTTTCATGCAATCAGAAGATAATATCATTTAATGTGCCACATCCCTTTGATTCCAGTTGCCATTTCCTCTGACGCTTTCAAAGTACAAAAAAGTCGATAAAGAATGGATATGATTAACTGCAGAAGCCTATTAGCAACAACAAAACAGTCTATTTAAACTAAGTGGACTTTAACTGCTCAACTACAAGAATGACTTTTGTTGATGAAGAAAGTTCCTGTGAAGCACTATACAAATTACATACCAGCAATAACCAATCACCATAACGTATTATTGCACACTGTACAAAGCTGATTACTAAAACGTATAAGGTTCATAAAGATGCCAAGTATCTAACTCATATATTCAACATATCTCAAATAATAACTGGACAAATGGAGTTCACCAAATCAGCCCTTAAGCTTGTCATAGAACCAGCTTAAAAACCTTGAAATGGCCATCACTTCTTTGAGTGCAGAATGTCCATATGAAGAGCAACATATAGTCCATTATCTTACATTGAAGACCACCTACCTTCTGGGTTTAATTTTCCCAGCAAATGCACAAAAGTAACATTCCTCTCTAGAGAAATCCTCCTTTCTTCAACCCATTCGTTGCTCATTATCTCACATTTCTCAGTGCATGGAATCTCACTTCTCCTCTCTCTCTCTCTCTCTGCCCATTTTGTCTGATACACGACTTAATGCTACTCTAAGCTCACAAGCCATTGTCACACTTGTACTAAAGACCTAAAAATGTCTGCAAAATATGGATGGACTGAATCTTGTGCACTTATGAAGATCAGTCTTGTAGGTGAAACTTAATGCAATTCAGAGTAGATGATTAAAATGACTAATATCAGTCTCACAATGCAACCTAACATTTAAAACACCCGTAGATCTATTAGCATGAACTTCAAGAGTGACAATTGATACATGCAGGACAATTCAAAAGCAGTATTGCAACAATAAAAGCAGCATAAATTAAAATTGCTACTAATCATGAAGTTGACAATGATGTAGATAAATGACAATTTGTCTTCTTTTGTTAGGACATCTACTAAATCTGGCTAAGATTTAGCACTTTTTTTTAACTTTCATTAATCTATTTGACTCGCACTACAGATTGTGCAACATCACAACAGAGGCACGTTTGAAAGTCAAGCCATGAGCATGCTAGTCTAAGAAGGTTCATGGAGCTGTAGCCTGTAGCAAATAAATTTAGATCGTATGTGAAACTATTTTCTCATCAAAAGGTTTCAAACTTTCAACCTGAGATAACTGCTCTTTGTCCTCGTATAATGACTTATTCTGCACCAGAAAATCTGCTTCTTTTGCCTGAAAGAGTATTTCAAATCCCAAACCATGTCAAAGTTTTTCCTTTTAAGTAATTAATCTGAAACAATGGTATAACATCTCGTAGGAGTTCGGAAACTGGAAGGGCACAGTTGAGATAGGAACAAGACCTTAAGCATCCTAAAACGATCACCTAAAGGAGGAAGCCCATCAAGAATTGTACGTGATAAATATTCATATGACCGTGCATGTTTAAAGAAAGGGTGCTTCAAAAGCTTTTCTGAAGAGGGTCGTTTCTTTGGATCCTTGACTAAGCAAGCAGCTACAATTTCTCTGAAGGACTGTAAAAGACACCAAAATTTCAGGAAAACAACCAAGCCAATCGAGAGATATTTTTTTAAAAAGGCAAACCTTTGAAAATCTCTTATCTCTTTCATAGTCCAAACCAGGGGGTGCATTTTGCAAAGTCATGAGAAGAACCTGCATTTTTTTCGGTTTTCGAGGGAGGGGGGGAAGGAGGTGTCAAGTACACTAGAACAAATCTTGCACAAAAGACGTTAAATCTTCCATACACACAATATAAAAGTGGGTTTTCATAATGAAGTTACAATCAACCTTCATTGGGGGGTATTTAGAGAACGGTGCATGACCATGAGCAAGTTCAAGTGCTGTTATTCCTAATGACCAAATATCTGCTCTGTTTAACCAAAATTGAAGCTTATAAGTACATTGATGTTAGAAATAATAAAAGAAAATGCGCCCAGAAGTAAATACAGAAAAAGGTGCTTAAATAAGACACTCACTTAAAATCATATCCATGCAGTTGCTGCATAACTTCAGGTGCCATCCTAATAAACATTCAAGAAACAGGAAGTTTGTTCTCTACTAAGTCATAAGAGATAAGGATAGCATTGAATATAGCTCACAAGAAGCAACAACTTACCAGCATGGAGTTCCAACAAATGTGTTTCTAGAACGTTGTCTATCACCAGTATCAAACATGCATGCAGCAACCCCAAAGTCTGCTAACTTGACAGCTCCATTAGTATCAATTAGAATATTCCCAGCCTGGAAAAACCCAAGAAGTAATTTACTTGGCTGAATCAGGACTTAAAGCCGATATTTGTCACACAATAAAGCAGAAAGGACGCAAATTATTGCTCATAAAGATGTAGATTCAGATACTTAATATGACAAGGAACTTGATAAACATACATCCTAGAAATAAGATCCACTGGAGAAAGAAAAGCACAAAATGCCAATAATAACAAACTCCAAGTATTATTCTGCGCAACTTAAAAGATGAATGAACAAGATATTCCCATTCCTTGTGACAGCAGGACATGCTTGCCACAGATGAAAACTGAAGGGAAGAAAATAACATGTTAAATCCTAATTGCTAGCTATTAATCAATGGCAAAAGAAAATAAAAAGAAAAAGGAGCAAATACAAAGATAAGTATACCTTCACATCTCTATGTATGTGCCCCTGCCCATGAAGATAAACAAGAGCCTTAAGTACTTCACGTAGCAATGTTGCAATCACCGGTTCCTCAAAACCTTCTGGATTAGCAGATTTCATTATATGAAGGCAAGATCCCCCAGCCATGTATGGCATGACAACCCAAAGATGGTGGCCTGTAGTGAATGAGCAGTGCGCACGTAATACATTGGGATGGTCAATCAAACTCATTGTTAGTACCTCTCGACGAATGCCATCCTAAACAAAGACAATAACCAAATTAATTTAATTGCAAGGTTCTTCTCACTGAAAAGATGCCAACTTTGAACAATTGAAACCAGTATCGGTAGCACATGCACACATTCAGCCTGCTTATCATACAAGGATTAGGTACTATTTCCAGACAAGTCCTAGGCAGCAACATATAAGACATGCATTGTTTGATTAAAGTCAGTTCCAAAACTTAATAATAACATTAATAGTTTTCCTTTTATCGGTAATAATCATAAAATTCTTGCAAGAGGAGGAGTATGAAATACATAAATAATGATGATTTAAACTATTACTGAAGGGAAGCAATTGATACAAGACTGAGATATTATATCATATCACCAAATGAACGAACTGAAACTTGTAACACCAGGTGCAATTTACAAGATTAGAATAAACAATATCCTAAGAAATAAATAACCAAAAAACAGAAAAAATACAAACACCAGTTGACCACAAGGCTGCTTACCAGATCGTTATTACACTTTTCCAGATCAAGAACCTTAATTGCAACTATCTCATTAAATGGAACGCAGAGAGCTCGATATACTGATGCACTGACACCTTCTCCAACTTCCTCATATAACTTGTAGTCTTTTGCATCAAGGGAAAACTTTTTCTCCATCATCTTTTCCATTGCTATGACTTATGTTGTAGCTCTCAAAGCTCTAATTGTCCAGGCAAAGGAGTATAGAATGGAGACGAAGGAGGATGGAGTCAACAAAAAGTGAGATTTCCTCCAAAAATATAACATTTTCCTTATGATCAGAACAGAACCTCATATGGCTCCAGAGACTTGGTAAGATGTTTCCTGTCCAGAATTCTGCACTTCAGAAGCCATAAAACTTGTAACCACCCAATCAAGAACAGAGCAATATATAATGTCGCAATCTTGGGAAAAAGAAGACCTAGTATCCCACTTGAGTAGCCTAAACTAAAGCCAAAAACTAAAAGTTGATTTTCAGTTAAGCTGACACTGCTCAACCACCAACTAATGAATTCTGAGCCTGAAAATTACATTACAATGCTGAATCACTGCAATTGATTCTCTTCCAAACTGCAAACACTAAATTTTTCTTGTCAGATTTAAATAGATTATCTCTAACTTACATAGCAGTATGATAGAAATTGAACTCTCAAAAATATCATTCAGAAGCTAGGAAGAACCAAATATACAGGCAGGCAATTCTATAACAGATCATGAGAGCAAATATTACTTGAAGCAATGTCCCATAAATGTAGGACCTAATTATAGGTCATTTCCGTATTATAGTAACTATGTAATGATGTTGTGCAGATCTGTTATTCATCATGAATATGTTTATAACCATTTGGAAAACAAATGGATTAATTACATCGAACTATTTGCAAGCCAAAATCTGGAAGCATTTATAGCTGCTTCTTGGTCATGAAAATCATAAGACTAAATAATCAGAATGACAGAAGAATTATGTCCACATGCACTCCCACAATGGCAAGGAACGCAACACACAGAGGAACACCAATGTACATCTGACCCATGACTCTTACGTAATATCACTTTAACAAAATCTCCAAACTTGTGTCTCTACTCTGTATACTGAGTATATGACAGGGATGATTTAACAAAACCTACCAGACACTCTTAAAATCAGCCTCCTATAAATTACAAAACCACATTTCTCTGAAGCATCAAGTTTTCTAAATAAGTTTTTTCGTCCAATATCATTAACTCTTTATCACTCTTTTTACTGACTTCGGATCATCATCATGATTCATGACATCTAAAGTTGCCTAACAACCGCAACAAGCATTTCTAAACTTGAGCATTTTTTTTTTCTACAGATCAAATTGTTAATGACCGGTAAATTATACCATTAAACATAAAAACTAAAATAAGATTTGTATGCTGTAAATGAAGGTTACATTAGCATACGAATTATAGCAGCTGACTAAGTCAACAACGGGTAATATATGATGCATATTTAGTAGAACTAATATCCACTGAAAAACACTCAGAAAAAAATAAATAAATCAATGCAGCCATTTTCAAATATTCAACCTCTAAAATACAGTCTTAGTTTTGTCAACTCAATCAACAAGCAGCACCAACGACCAGAGCACAAAAGAAGGCGAAACAAAAAAAAATACATACAAAAATGGAAATATAGAAGAAGCCAGTTTATTCAATGAAATAGGAGAATAAAATGAGACAAATAGAATAGAGCTGACCTAGGGTTCGGATGGCAGAGAGCAGAAGTAATAAACTGGTAGCAAACCAAAAATAATCCAGACTACTAGGTCTGAATAAAATGGAAAACCCTAAGCCTAGGGTGGTCGAAACTGGAAACTGCTGGGTGCCGTTTCGAGGGGGTGATAAAACCTTTCGACTAGTCCGCCATGGACGACGAGAATAGAATCAGTAGATATAGCTTCGGCTTTTCTTTCCCCAGTCGTCGTCGTCTACTCTACGGTTTAGGCGATCGAATCTCCACCGTCAATTTCACCTAGAGGTGTCAAAATGGGTGACTTGGGCGGGTTTGGGTTGGATAAAATGGGTAATGGGTATAAGTGAGTCAACTCATTTATACCCATTTAATTAGATGGGTATAAATGGGTAAGTCAAAAAATGAATTGGGTAACCCAATTACCCATTTATAACTCATTTATTTTAACTTTTTGCAAACTCATTTAAATTCATTTTTGCAAACTAAGTTATTAATTTATATCACTCTTTGTACCCATCATTAGTTTTAAATATTTACTTATAATGTTCAATAAACTTAATTACCAATTTTTTTCATTTATACTCTATGTCACAAAATTACCTATTATTTAATAATTGAATAATACGAATATACAAATTTGAATTAAGTACTATAAAAATTAATATAAAAACTTAATCCAAAAATTTTGAACCCCTAACATTTTTTTCATACATATAAATTTAAATTTTCATTTTTTAAAGATAAGAAAATAGGCTAAAATTTATCATAAATTGGTAATGCTAAAAAATGAGCAAGTTAACAAACTAAGAAAAAAATAAAATAATAAGATAAAACCAACAAATAATAATAATAATAATAATAATAATAATGTTAACACAATGACAAAATGAAAAATTTGAAAAAAAAAAAAGGTAGGGGAAAAGAAGAGACTTGGGGGAAGAGAAATTTAAATGGGTTAATTGGGTTTGATGGGTTACCCAATAGTACCCATTTAATAAATGGGTATTATTGGGTAACCCATTTATACCCATATACAAAAATTTAAGATACTCATACCCATCTATTCATGGGCGGGTATGGGTAAATATAGTTAATTGGGTTGATTTGCCACCTCTAATTTCACCCAAGCCAAAAACACACTTAATATCAAGTGTGTTTGGATTGTAAGTTATTTGAAATATTTTTACCGTAACACTTTTTGTGATGTGATGTATGTGAGATAAAAAGGTAATTGGGAAGATAAAAAGGTGTATTGAAAATTGTAACGGTGATGTCAGCAAATATATTTGGCCAAATAATTGGCTGTCCAAACACACTCATCATGTTGTGTGATTTTTTGTTTTCAACATACAATGTCCGGACCTTCAACCCGACTAATCCTCTGTGATCCGAGAGGAGAAGCCCATTCATCTCGAACACATTAACCCCGGGTTGGAGAAGCCCATTCATCTCGATCATTTGTGGCCATATTCTAAATAGGAGCAACACATCACACGAACTACCCCGGATTGGGCTATGTTGTGTGATTAAAAATGCCAGTGTGGCTAATTTTGAATTTCAAAAAATCGTTCAAAACATCCATCACATTTTGTAAGATGATTTTTTTGTCCCTCAATTTTAAAAGTATAATTTTATGTCTCTTACAAATTTACATTAATCAAATATGATCCCTACCTAAGTTTCAGACTATTTTTTTGTCGGAATCCATCACGTGCCTTGCACATGATCATTTTTTAAGGGCAAATTTATCAAATCAAATTTTACATAATCCAATTCATAGTCTTTCACATTTTCACAAAATGAATTTTTTTCCTAAAATTTTATAAAATAAATTATTTCGTCCCTCATATTTCACAAATAAACTTTTTCATCCCTTACATTTTTTAAAATGGATTTTTCATCCCTCATTGATCATGTTTATGAATAAATTTTTTTCTTTAAATCTATGTATATATTTATTTGATTTCATTTGAACAATATGAATAACATGTAATATATTTTTATTTAATTTTACTTAAACAGATTAATTGTAATTATATATATGCTATTCAACAGATATATAGAGGGGTTTAAAATTAACATTTTGTTTTAAACCCATATATATATATATATCTGAATGATTTTACCTTATAAATCTATTTAATATTTGTGACCTTTCCCTTGTGATAATAATTCATTTATTAAAATGTATAATAAGATCATCTAATTAATAGGTTCTAACTTGAATTATATAATAGTCATGCTCACAAATTGCAATTTAAATATGAAATTTCTACTTGCTACTTTTAAGACCAACGGTTGAATTATTATTCTCGTGATTATTTTAAAATTTGAAAGTGCCAATCACTTACTTTTTTGTCATACTTTCCCTTTATTTATTTTTTCTGTCCAAATTTAATTCGACATAAACACTCAATAATGTTTAAAATTAAATATTTTCTTTGTTTTTAATTTTTGAGTAAAACGAAATGAATATGAGTAAAAAACTAACAAATTTTTAAACCCATATAGATATCCATTTGAGTTCACTTGAACAGTACAAATAACATGTAATATATCTCTATTTGATTTCGTCAGACAAAATTAAATAGAGAAATCAAATACATATATATTATATGCTATTCGTACTACTCATGTGTAATCAAATAGATATATACATGGGTTTAAAAAAAATTATTCGTGCACATGATCAATGACAGATGAAAAAATTCATTTTGAAAGATGTGAAGGATAAAAAATTCATTTTGTAAAATATAAGGGATGAAAAAATTCATTTTGTAAAATGTGAAGGACTATAAATCGAATTATGTAAAAATTGATTTGACAAATTTGTCCTTAAAAAATGATCACGTGCAAGACACGTGGTATATTCTAATCAAAAACTAGTTGAAAACCTAGGTAGGAACCAAATTTGATTAATATGAATCTATAAGGGACGTAAAATTACATTTTTAAATGTGAAGAACGAAAAAAGTCATTTTGTAAAATGCGACGGCCATTTGGAACGATTTTCCCTTTAAAAAAACTAAAATAGCCTCAAATTAATCAAGTGTAGCAACAATCACATGAGACCTTTGTAAAGCATTTTTAACGATTTAGCTCTCAAAATGTATAAAGTTGCAACCATCCAACTTGTGTTTCAATACATCATGAAGTGTGTGTGTGTGTATATATAATTTATGTATTAACAGATCATGTGTAAAATGTAGGACTGTCAATGGGGGGTGCATAAGAAAAGTTTTGGTAAGCCTAAATTAGACTCACAAAGCAAATATGAGATTGTGTATTAAGTATTTTGGGGACTTTTTAAAATTAAAAATTTTATTAGTGTATAGTTAAAATTTTTTAATTCTCACCTATCACAACCACCTATTATCCCTCCCACTAAATTTTTAAATCCTCACCTGTCACAGCCACCTATTAACCCTTAGATTAGTAGCACTGTCCCTCTCTTTTCCCCTTCTCTTTATTTCCTGTCTACGATAGCAACCAAATATTGTCATGGTAGTGCGAAGAAAGAATAGTAGAAGAACGGAGAGGAAGATCTGGTTGCAACCAAATACCATAGTAGGGAGAGAATGGGGGGTGCAGAGGAAAATAAGGGAAGGGAAGAGGAATAAAGAGGAATGACCGACGGGGAGAAAGAACAGGGGAGAGGAAAGAGGGGAAGAATAGAGTGAGAGGGAGGATGCGTGATGGTGGCACGTGATGGGTGAAAGTTGGAAGAAGAAATAGGCGGTAAGTGCGCCTGGCATGCATGGCCTCGAAATGAAGTACGCCTTCTCTCATAAACTAAAAAAAATCAATTGCTTTTTTTTCCTTGTCTTCCTTGATACCATATAATTAGCTTATATAATAGGATATTGTGTTACATTTTCCAAGTCTTTTGATAGCATATCTTCTTGTTCGTACAATAAAATTGAAATTGTCATTATCATCTACTTGCACCTATCAAAGCCTCAAGAGAAAGTCAAGGAAAGAAAAGTGAATTATAACTATTATTAATATTCTTTAGAAAGTAATTTTTCCTTTTGTAATATGTAAACATTTCTAAACATTAGTGCAAGAAAGTTTAATTGAAAAATTGTTTATCATAGCAACCAAATTTTCACCACAATATACAAACCAAAAAATGATTGACCCAATGGGCTGAAAAATGGGTTCAGTCAAGACAAGTAGCCCAGCCGCGAACACGTAACAGTGTTAACTTTAAGTTTGGGCGAGCCATTTAGGGGTCGTTTGGTTAGAGGAATCAAGGTTAGGAATGGGTTTCAAACCTTGTTTGGATTGCTGTTTTCCGTAAAAAAAAATTACGTCGTTTTCCGTGATCACATTTCCCTATTACCTTTTTCCTCACATACATCAAATCGCTACAGTAATTTTTTCATAAAAAATCATGAAGAATGCAATCCAAACACAACCTTAAGTTAATGAAACTATTGTGAATAAACTCAAATGAACATTCGTTAATCATGCTTAATAATAATCAATAAAAGGGGCACCGGTGTTGATTTTTCTGAGCATAAAATTAAGTTAAGAAGATAGTATATAATTTATAAAAAAGATAGTGATATGTGTAAGCGAATGCATTTATGTTGCAATTTTGAGTGTACAAGACAATATCCATTAAACACCGAGAGAGGGAAAAATAAAAATCCGAGAAATATGCAGGTCATCAAGCGTTTTAACCGTAAAGTCACAGTCTTCCACCTGTTAAAGACTCTGTAATGCAGTAACAAGAAACATGAGCACAGGGCACATTAAAATTACTAGTCCACGCCCTGCATGGAACTTTTTTATTTGGCCAGATTATGTAGCCCCGTCACTGGACATAAATGTCAACTTGGACATAATCTCCAGGATGGTTATAACCTTCTGCGCAAGGGTTCTAGAAAGTCCACGCTTCCACGTTTTTCGAGAAGCAGATTTTGGATTTTTTATAAAACAGGAAAATGTGTCTTAAGGTCCTTGCTTGGAAGACAAGTTTCTCTGCTACAGATTTTTTAAAAAATTTTAGTTACAGTAATCTCAAAAAAAATTTTAAAGGTTTTAAATTATACACTTTAAAATATTTATAAAAAAAACATACAAAAATTTTTTTAAAAATTCTACAGTATGTTACAGTAAAATTTTAAACAAACACCCAAAAAACTCAGTTGACAAACGGAGTAGTAAGTTTACTTTTCCACAGCCAGTAAGGACACATGAGTTTGAAACTGACTTTTTTATTT